GAACCCCCCCCCCCGGAAAAAAAAAACAAGCTTTCTGAGTCCGGACTCGCGGTCCACATGCTCGAACTCGAGTTCGAACTGGCGGTGACACAGTTCGAACTCGCGTTCGAACTCGCCCCAGAGCAGTTCGAACTCGATTTTGACCTGGCGGCGTCCGCGTCGAACTCGAACTCGAACTCGCACCCCCCCCCCGGGAAAAAAAAACAAGCTTTCTGAGTCCGGACTCGCGGTCCACATGCTCGAACTCCAGTTCGAAGTGGCGGTGACACAGTTCGAACTCGCCTTCGAACTCGCCCCAGAGCAGTTCGAACTCGATTTTGACCTGGCGGCGGCCGCGTCGAACTCGAACTCGAACTCGACCCCCCCCCCCCGGAGAGAAAAAAAAACAAGCTTTCTGAGTCCGGCTCGAGCTCGAACTCCCCCCCTCCCTAGGGGGCCGTCTAGCCAAGAAAAAGGTGTCCAAGACGCCAAAGTCCATTTGGCCCGTGGAAACAGATTAGGCCGTGAAAAGATTTTGCACCATCTTCAGCAACCTTGGACCGTGAAATTTCATGTGCCCATGTGCCCGTGAAAACCTAACTAGCCGTGAAATGGCCTAATTTGCCCGTGAAAATGGGAGTTTGGCCGTGAAATGTGCCCGTGAAAACCTAGCTAGCCGTGAAATGGCCTGTTTGGCCGTGAAACTGGGCGTTTGGCCGTGAAATGTTTATTTCACCACCGGACCAATACCAGCGCCGGAGAGGAAGAAAAAAAAGGGTGGTTCAAGGCATATGTTGATATAATATGTATATTATATATATATGTGTGTGTGTGTTTCATTTTTGTTTGCAACATGAATGGGCACCCTGCATCCAGAAATTGTGTTAAAATTTTCAGGCAGGCGGAAGCAAGGTGAATATAGTCACGCAATGAAATATGAAGTGGGAAACACAATATTTTTCAATGGTGCGCACATAAAAAATACACATACGCACCTACACGACTGACACGCACAGAGACACACAGACATGTTCTATATAAACGGAATACGTAGTACATGAACCACCCTTGCGAATATATATATATATTCAAATAGAGATACGTGTGTATATATATATAAACACGGTGAACTTTTTATGGGGCTTTGGTGTCGGATGGTTCATTCGCTGTCCCAATCGCCGCATCTTTTACAGCGCGCTGCCGAAGTGCACGCGCAGAGGTGAAACCATGCGAAGCCCAATTTAATTTGCAAAAATGGTTCAGCTGACATGTTTGTGAAATCAGACATGGTCGAATATTTACCAGTGGTCAATTTTCAAGGTTTCATTGTTTTTGAAGCCGCCTAGCCCACCCGACTATGGTGCTTGGGGCTGCGGCCCCTTGATCGAGGCAAGCGTTCTCTGATTTGATTAATGAATTCCCTGATTAGCTGAGGTGCATCTCAAACGATTTTTGTTTTCATGCTCACTCCAACTTGGGGTCTGGATGGCCAGTAGGTTTTTTGTTTTATGATTTCAATCGGAAAAAATCTTCGAAAGTGAGTATTTCACGACAGGTCTTCCAAACTGCCTTAACCTCAAACTTTTTGAGCGAAAAGGCCCAAGGCCATTCATGATTGGTCAGGCTGACCTTGGCGACTTTTCAGCGACTTCAGCTTCGCCAAATTGCCAGTCCAGCATGTTTGAACGGCAAGAATGCGAGGCAGCAAGGGCTGTGCCAGATCAATGCGTTTGGATTTCTTAGGAAACACGAAAAGCCATCTGTACTGATATTTTAGGTCCATGGAGATCCCAACAGATTGATTTGTATCAAAAACTATTTGAGAAATCGCGGATTTGGAAATTCCTCGAGCGGTTGTCTCATTCACGCGCTCGTTGCCGATGCGCCGTCAGCCAGGCCACAAGATGGCACAGTTCACCCACCTCACAGGCATGCCAAGCGGTGCGCATCCACCCGACTCCGCTGGGATTTGGGTTCGTTTTTTTTTTCAATGCTGCATAAGAGATGTTCCAAAAAACGCAATATCTGAATCTGAACGCCGGAAACTTTTTACAAGCTCAACTTCAGGGGTTTTGTTCCGCAGGAACGGATAGGTTTTGTTGAGCCATGGATGGCGTAAAGAAGGTTGAAGGTCATGACTCGTCTTCCGAATCGGAAGAATCAAAGGACGAGAAGAAACTCAATGGTGACTATGTCCACTTTGTGAATGCGTATTCCGAAGAACCAAAGCTGAAGGAGGTAGTTGGGGACAAACAAACTGTTTCACTCACCAAAACATTATAGTTTGTGGGAAAATCGATATGCCTGGTCCCCAAAAAATAAGACCATCATAGTAACTGGTTTACTTCCCTTTCAGGTAGGCCTTACATTCACCATTGACCACTCTGGTCGCGTGGCGAAAAGGCCGACGATTAAAGATGTAGTTGCCAACCGACATGCTCCTTTGCAAGAATCAGAAATGTTTGCTACTTCTTTCATGTTTTTTGGCATACACCGCTTTCGCGGTTTTCCGTTTCATCCCCAAAATCAAATGGCTAAAGGTTGTGATGGCGACCATCAAGGGAAGTCTTCAGTGTGAAAATAAAGCCCCGCAGATGTCAGCTTACACGATCCAAAATGCGATCCTGCAGTTCTACACGAAGTACAGGCTGTTTCCCCAGGGCCTTTCAGCTTTGGTCCCAGCAGTGGTGGATTGGGCTTTGAAGCATGGGGCCATCATCAAGAAGTTGGTGAGGGGCCCAAGTTTTATGTGGGAATAGACCCATCAAAACCACATAACCCAAAACTTATGCAAAAAAAATGGAAATTATGGATTCCTTGGTGCTTCAATTTTGACCCGGTATCCCTGCAATAAATTGTCCATACCGCATCCCCCAATATGTTCTATATGGTTTTCTTATCCAGATTCACGGGCCTAGGTCTCCAGGTTCCGTAGATTGTTGAAAAAAGCTTCTGGCGCAAAGAACAAGAAGCTTTTCCATATGAAGGAGGATGCCACAAAGATTGGGTGGCCTTTGCCTAGTAAGGACTAGTCGACCAAAATATGTTCATATGTTCAATTCCCGACCCATGAAACGCGTTTTTTTCAGGGATCTGCCTGTGGCCCTCATTGGTTGGCCTGCCCGCAGCCACAGGACAAGGGCAAGCCCGCCGACCTCGCTGAGATTCCCAACATTGCAGGCTCCAGATCTTCGACCACAGCTTCGTCGGACCTGGGCAGCAGCGAAATTTCGTCCGTGTCTTCGACCAAGTTGGCCCGGATTGCCAGCCAGCTTGAAGCTCTGAGGATTGCCAAGGCTTCGAAAGCCGTGAAAATGAATGAAACTATTGTGGTCGAAGATGATGACCCAAATTCTCCTCACTCCACTGGTGCCAAGCATTCCGACCCAGTTGAAAATGAAAATTCCTTGGAAAGGTTGCCCCCCAAGATTAGGATTGCTCAGATTTTGAAGAATGCCAAGATGAGACGATTGGCCAATGAAGTCAAGACCACCGGTGATCGCCCTGCCAAAACAAACGCTCCAAAAGATGAGGATGTCCCAGACTTTGTTCCTTGCCCCTGTTGATTCAAATTCCGACCACATACACTTTCTATTAATATTCTTACTCATTTTTTTTTTACAGGTTCGGTTCCATCGTCAAAAGACCCAAGCTATAGCTCCATCTTCGCTTCGAGGTTGGCCGTGCTTTGGGCGATGGCGATGTGCCCAAGACTTTCCCTCTTTCGGACCAGTACGTCAACACGATCAAGAAAGCCAAGGAGGCTATGGATGGGTGCCTTTCCGAGCCTGACTCGGAGAATCCCCATGAAAAATCCAAGAAACCCAAGAAGGGCACCAAAACCCAGAAAAAAACAACCAAAAGGGAGGGAAAACCTAAGGGTGAGAAAGTGGACTCATCATGGAAATATGGTGAAATTCGATCTTCTTTCATAAAATCAGCTAGGGGCAAAGGTATGGATTTCAACACGGCCAAGAGCCTATGGAACGAATCTCGTGAGAAGAAAGAGCTTTTGGCTGGCCTCACACTTTGCGAATTGAAGCGCCGCAAATTCGTGGACAAGACTTGCAAGACCAATCCTTGGTCCTAGTTTCTTTTGTTGCTTAGAGATATGTAGATGCTGTGTCGACCTTTCCACGTATCACCATATGGGGCCCGACGGGGTGGGGTCACAGGAACATCGGCTCGCACCGGTGAATTGGTGAAAAGAATGCTCATGTGCTATTCGCAATTTGCATGATAGGCATGCGGCTAAATCTTGTGATGAAAATCCACGTCCTTTTTCCTGCTCGGGAAAATTCAGGCTCGAATGTTTTTCTTGATGACCGAAGGCCTTTACATATAACCTTCACCCAATGTCTGTCTTGGGCATGCTTAGATGGAAATTGCCATCGCCCCTGATATTGTTGGTGCTCTTGACTTCTTGGAGCACGACTCTCAAGCATGACATGGACACTTCTTCGAAGAAAAGAAACTGTTCATGCGCATTTTATTATTTCATGGTTGTGTTTGGAAATGATTTTTCCGCATATCTAGAGTCCCTACCATAGATCGCTGAGGATCGCCAGTTTCTTGAAGTATTCAGTGGACGTGGCGAAGTTACCAATGCCCTGAGACGCGCCGCTCGCACATGGTTGGCCACATTTACACGTGCGAGCCCCCACATACCACCAATATTTTTCACACCCGAAGCGCGACACACCAGTTTTACTTCATTCCAGGGCAACTTGACCAAACCCCAGCTTTTACCTAGGTGGAGGGACTACAGGTTATTTCCCAAACAAACTTTGATGGCGATTCGTTGGGGAAGCTTTTGTGTATATATATATATATTTTTTGTTTATTTATCTAAAAAACGAAATATCTGTATATCATCTAAATACGAATATATCTATATATTTCTCCCTCTCTCTCTCTCTCTTTCATTCCTTCCTTCCTGTCTTTCATTCTTTCATTCTTTCATTCTTTTTTTCTTTCATTCTGTCATTCTTTCACTCTTTCACTCTTTCTTTCTTTCTTTCTTTTCTTTCTTTCTTTCTTTCTTTCTGTCTTTCTGTCTTTCTGTCTTTCTGTCTTTCTGTCTTTCTGTCTTTCTGTCTTTCTGTCTTTCTGTCTTTCTGTCTTCTGTCTTTCTGTCTTTCTTTCTTTCTTTCATTCTTTCTTTTTTTCTTTCTTTCTGTCCTTCTTTCTTTCTTTCTTTCGTTTTTCCTTTATCTCTCTCTCCCTCTCTCTTTCTGCATAAGTCTGTGCAAAACACGCAAAATCATACCTTTATTACAGCTGAATTTCTTTCAAAATTAGGACGTCCAACCCTAGGCCCCCACAAATTAAAAACAATATTTGAACCCATATTTGTTTCCGGAACCGCGAATGACCAATTCGTACATGGTAAATAGCAAAGTGAAATGTATTGGCCAAAGTTGGAGGCGGCCAATTTTTTTGTGTGTATTTTTGGGGACCCAGCTTTTGAGGCCAATCTCCATGGAGCAGCCATAGACCTCGAGGTGAACCCACGGGTCTTTGATTTGACCACTCCCGGCGGGTTCGTGACCCTTGGTGCATGAATGAAGCCCGTAATCTTTCACGGGCGCTTTGGCCCCCATAGTTTGCATGAAAAAAGTTCCGCGGATGTTTGAATTTCTTCAAGGTGATGGTTGCATGTTTCGAGGCTCACATTGAACGAGCTATTGCGATGCGAGCCCGGTTCCCTCGTCCTAATGGCTCCATGCTGCAAATCTTTTTCCAGAATGTCGAGTCCTCAATGATACATGAAACGAACCATTTTCACCACCCTTGGATTTTCCTGGGGTCCAGTGCCAAGGTTGGTCGAAATCCAAGATTGGAATCCAAATCTGGTCTCGATATGCAAATCAAAAAATTCGTAGAAGATATTCATGTGGTTTAATTTTAGATGCGAAGAGAAGGTCACAGCGTTTTTCACGGGCGTTTGGGCATATCCAATTCATAGTTTTCATGTCTCCCGTCTGCTCAGGTGCAGGTATACATCAGGCCGAAGCTTCTTCAAGCCGTGGGGCAACGTGGGATATATATTTGTCAAGACTGGCAATTTACTTGGATGCAGAGTATGTTTACTCATTTTGGTAGCCTCATACCGGGGCCTGCGATGGCTGCTGGAGCAGCCCTCTGGCTCGTGCTTTTTGGCAATTCCTCGATTCCAAATGGTATTGGCCATGGTCCACGCAACTTCCCATGTATTTTAATTATAAGTTTTTGCGTTAACGAGAATGATTTTTTTCATCATTTCAAGTCCCCCAAGCCTGGCTTCTTGCTGGCACCTCGGCCCAGGTATGGTCCGGGCGATTCTGGATGGGGCACTTCTCTGGCCGTAGCCCAAAGCCGCATCAAATGTTTTCAAACGACGTGGACATGATCGCGGCCTTGTGCAGGGAAGCAGGGTATTTGTCGAGGGCCCAAGCTCTACTCTGCCCGGTGCGAACAACCCGAACTTACCGGGACAAAAACGGGGTGAAGAGGTGTGTGGGGAAGAAGAAGGAACTTCGTGAATCCCAGTCCCCTGAATATGCATTCAACATTTTTGTTGCCCTGTCACCTTTTCATGATCTTTGATTTTCGGGATTTTTTGGGGGAATCATGGTTATCCATTCCAAGCTAGTGGCATGTCTTGGTTTCCAAAGCCTTGTCTGCGGACACCAGGCACTACACCGCAGAGTTCGGAGAATTTATCGCAGAGCTTGTGCAATCACGAGCCGGCGTTCCATGGATTCAATTCTGCTCTTTTGTTCCCGCAAATTTTCCACTGAAGAATAGAGATCCATTTTGTAAGGGGAATTTCTGATTGTCTTTGAGGCTCCGCTCCCTGGGCCACGAGACCCTGTATGGATTGATGACACCCTGACCGACCTTGAGTTATTTCGACAGCACTGCATGCCTTTTCACGATCTCTGGCCGGAGGCGGGTGAAAAAACTAGACAGTGAAAAGCTGCAGATTTATTTGCCTTAGTTTTGGTGATTCGCAAACCATATCAGTTTTACAAAAGATTCTGTCCATACCACGGGGGACCTTTGAAGTCAATTCAATGTCTTTTCAAAAGTCCACCGGCCAGCAACTACAGTTTCCCCCCAGCTCCATGCCCCCAGGCCAAGCTGATGGAAGCCGTGGAATACCTGGCCCGCTGCAAACATATTCAAGTGCCACGTGGGTGGGACCCTTTGGCTTGGCCAATGTAGGTCGCTTGCGAGGTTGCACGGGAAAGGTGAAACCCATACAAGCGGAAAAATTTTCAATTTCAAACTCAAGAACTACCTGTGCGACTTTCCAACTGTAACTGTGTCGAGCATGTATTGGAATTTCCCATCATCGTTGTTCTCATTCCACGATTGTTGATTTAACCTTCCACCACTCGCTCATGAAATTCAAGGCGTGCTCAAATTTTCCCACTATGGTTTTCTCACGTGAACTGATTTGATGTGCGGAGTGATATCCCCAAAAGATACCCAAACAAGCTGAAATGTATCTGGAGTTTCGCCCTTCATGCTTAGAACTGTTTTCACACAACTGTGCTTCTGTCTAAGGACCTGGTTCTCCACGAGCTGAATTTGCGCCCTATCGATGTGTGATTCATGGGTCATTGCTTGCCAACTTTTGGCAAACAAGTTTGTGGCCCCACAGGGGGGGCCACCAGTTTTGGCATCAAGAATCTTAAGATGACCAGCCTCGAACTGTGAAATCATGTGGATGATAAAAGGTGCTTTCTGAAACCAAGTGCATTGTTGTTTCTGCGCTTGAGCATGCTCGATCAATAAATGTTTTACTTTGGTGATGTGATGAATGGAATATTCCCATAAAGCACGAAAACAAACAAATCACTACAGCCACGAAAACCCACGAAAACACGAAAATATTGTAGCGTGAAAAACCGTGAAACGGCCATGAAAAAAACCTTCCTGGACGTGAAACCACCGTGAAAAACGTGAAAATGAAAAACATGGTTTTTGACACTTTTTTGGAATTCGATCAGGGTGACATAGCATGAAACGGATCCACCTTGCTGTTATCCGAACTTTATTGCGTTTGATTAGCCATTTGCAGAGTTCGCATTTCCCCAAGCCCGAAGATTTCATGGCAAGGACGAAGGCGACTGAGGTGGCCAAACGGGCCCCAAAGGCTCCCAGTGTCGCGCAGCTTTCTGAGTTAGCCCAAAAATTCATTCAGGACAAGGACAAGAGTGGTCCTTCAGTGGAGCCAACCCCAGAGGTACCTGTTCGAGGTGCAATCAAAACGGAGAAGCTGGAGATCACCGAGATGGATCTGTTGGAGGCCGATGGATTCGATCCAAGCGACTTGCCTTTCTAGTTGAAGTGGTGCAACTTCGACAAGTTCCGTGCAATGTTCAAGCTGACGGAGCAGGAGGCCTGCACCATTCTTCTTGCAATGGTGGGGCCGACCGTTGAAGGCGAAAAGATTTGGTGCAAGTTCGAGTTCCCCAAGCACCTTTTCAGTGAGTCGGGTGTCTTTGAGAAGCCCGCGTTGGAGGACAAGCCCGAAGCCAAGGCCTTTCCAAAGACCAAGGCCAAGCAGGTTCGCAGCAAACCTGCCCCAGGCTGGGTTTTTCCAAACAACGTTTGGGAAAAAGGGAGAAAGTTCAAATAAATGATTTCTTTTGGGTTTGCTTTTGAGACCCATTGCAGGTCCACGGGCCAAGGTGCGGAAGGTGGCCATTGCTCCTGCTGTGGATACTGGAATTGAACCCGATGCTGCATCAGATGCTTGTATGGACGAGGAAAGTTCTGAGGAGGAGGACTTGCTGTCTGGCACCGGATCATCAAACAATGGTCCACCACCTGCTCCTCCAGCTCCGCCCACAGTGCTGGACCCAAAGGACTTTGAGGAGTGCGATGGTGATGAGGAGCCTGTGGTGACCCCTCCGGGACTTCCTGAACCTGTGAAAGAATCCATCGACACCAACGCCTTGGATGCCAAGCACAATTTGAAGGAGGCCATGCGCACACCTGTTGAAACACCAGACAAAGTGGTTCTTTGGATGAACTTACCAAATTTTGTTATTTTCCCCCGTTCCTGCCTTGTGTCAACTCGATGCATTATTTTCCTCATGGCGGAATTGTCATCCCAGGATGTGAAGACTGTCAACAAGAAGGCCAAATCGACCCCTTTTCGACTCCAGTGCCCAGGCTTTTTATAGATTGGTGTAGTATGGAATCCAAATTTTCCCGGTGCATTTTCCCCAACAACTGGAATTTCCACCAGAAAAGCCCAAGTGTTTTGCAAAATTTTGGTCGACCGAGGTCGTGCGAAACTTTAGTCCTGGGTCAGCAGGAATTGAGCCGACAGGCGTCTGGAGTGAAGCAGCCTGCTGTCGCTTCGGATGAGATGTCAGAGTTAACCAACAATTTGTTTTAGTAAAATTTTCTCCAAATTGTCATGTTGGTTTCCATGGGCCAATTTTCTGTCCGAAGGTGAAATCTAAGGGCTCCCTTTTTTTTTGGAAAATGGGTGGGTTCACCATCAACCCAGGTTGGGCCCATCAGCTTCGAACGTGAATGGTACCTCTGAGTCAGACCAGTTGCTTGCTGCACTGACCTTGCTGAAGGATGGCTTCGGAGACCCAGATCTGAAGGCGATTTTCAAAGGTCTCATTGACCAGTTTTGCCCCAACAAGACGGCTTCTTGCTCTGAGGCTGCTGCAGCCTGCAAAGGTAAGCCTGCAAGCGCTAAACCTGCAGGAGCACCGATCGTTGAGCCAAAGAAGCCAGAGGTCAAGCCGGCTGTGAACCCGAAGAGTGTTTCGGTTGACCCGGGTCCGAAGAGTGTCACGATTGAGCCGAAGGTTGGCCAGATCGCTGCCCCGAGTGAGAGCGATAGCGATGCAGATTCAACAACTCCTGCAGTCCCGAAGCTTGAGATCTGCAATTCGTCGACGCACCGTCGAGAGCATGCGCGGCTTGCCCGCCGTATGCAAAGTGATGCTGCTGCAGCATCGTGTCCGGAGATGGTTCGTCTCTGGAATGGCAGTCGCCAGGACAGGGCTGATTTTTGGGCCACAGGTTGGAAACTTTTTTGCAATTTCTTTCCAAATCTTTCAAGGAAACAAACCCTGAAGGACAAGTCCGCGCTGCTGAAGCAGTGGATTGAGTCAGGTGAAAACTTGGCGGCTTGCGAGAGTCGTCTTGTGGTGTCAAAGAGCCAGGAGACAGAGATGGTGCGCTCGAAGGAGCTTTTGACCATCCGCCAAATGGTGGAGCGCGGATACAGCCAGCAAATTGGTCCCATTCGGCTTGTTTTTTGATTTCATCGCCCCCAATTTGTTTAAATGGGTCCCGCCCGGTTGAATTCCAACCTGAATACTGGCAATTTGTCAAATGACATTTTGACTGACTGTCAGGAAGAAGATCGACACGATCATATCGAAAAACGAACCGATCTATGACGAAGATGCTCCCGATTGCCCCGAATCAGTACGCTTCCTTGTCTTTACCGGAGGGTCTTGTGTGGATCGGGAGAAGGTGGCAATCACGGGATCATCGACGGTCAACGTCCGATCGACTCCGGAAATGCTTGGGTCTTTGGTGGAGCCAACTGCCAATTTGCCAGGAAGGTCGGCGTCGGCCACTTCTGGAGGAGCTTGTGCTGGAGCCGCAGGGCAACTTACTTTGTCATCTTTGGTCGGAGTGGTGAACGATTGCAAAGATGCCGACAAGAAAAAGGATGATAAAAAGCCGGCCAAGAAGGATAAGAAGGAGAAAAAGGTCAAGAAGGAGGACCCCCAGACCACGAAGGAGAAGCAACAGAATGGCCGTAACTTTCACCTGTATCACAAAGTTTCTCCGACTTAATTTTCTGTGGTGCTGTTGTGTCTCTGCAGGGTTAGCTTCTGCCCTCGGGAAATTTCATTCAATTTGATCAGCTGCAGGCAAGGAACTGAAGAAGGAGATGAACAACTGCAACATCCTCTACGACCTGCCCCCTGAGAACGCCCTCCGCAAGGAGCTGTCCAAGATGAAGGCCAAGTTGGAGGAATTTGTGGACAAGTTTCTTGACCTTGAATTTGTGTTTTATGTTCCACTGCAATCCCAACCTCTTCTTGGGCACCTCTTAAATATTGCTTTTCATGTTAAACTTCCGCACTTGTCTTCAGGCTTAACGCCGCTGACGATGATTCCATCGATGATATTTCTTCCCAAGCCGCGAACGAGGTTTGGAGAATCCAAAATGGTGCCCACCAATGGTTAAGGTAAATTGTATGTAAATTCTGTTTACTATGGGGGCTGTGCCGGTTTACCCAAGTTGAAAATCCATATCCATTTCCCTGACCCTGCAGGTGGAGGCCTGCAAGCTTTTGCGTGCCCAAGCACGTGCTGTTGCCGCTGAGCTCAGGAAGAGCCAGGACACCTCGAAGGGCAAGTGATTCAAATCGCTTGGCGGGCGGTCACAGCCGTTGGCGTGGGGGAGAAACTCGATCCATGCCAGGGTGGAGTTCTGTTTTCCATTCACTGCTTTAGGCAGCGCCCTGGGAAATTTATTTCCGAAAAACAGTTGGGAATTTTCCATCTCCCCGTGCTTCAGAAAATGACTACTGTAGGAGAATTTCAATACCAGTTGGGTGCCTGCATGGCAGCTTGAATGCCGGGCAACATGCCATTTAAGCCTGATGACCAGCCCACAATTTTGTGGACATAGCAGTTTCTTGGCGATCGATGGAACCAAAGCAAATCATCTTCAACGAGCGGAAAAAAGGGTATATGGTCCCAATGCCAATTGTTCAACACCTTTCACTTTATCACACTCTTCAGGGAAAACCACCCGTTTTCAGGGAAATCCACCATTTCAATCCCACGCAGGTCCATCTCAAGGAATGCATCTTCTTCGAGAACAGCTAGACCAACAGCTACTTGCATATCATACTAGGTCTCTGCTGCTTATTATAGCCAATGATTCCTGGGCCCACGGAAAACCCAGGCTGTTGGAATTTGTTGGCTCTGGCCGGACTTCAGTGCGGCACTCCCGGGATCTTGGCGCCATCTATGACAGTGACATCGTGACGCCCCTTGCTCTATATACAATTCCATTGTTGAAGAAACATATTCAGTAAAGTTTGTGTGAAAATGACAATATTTTTTTTCATCTTCTCTTCCCTGCGCTAAGTAACGACAGAGAACGTGGCCTACACGAACGATCATTTCGAGCTTGTACTTCCCTTCCAGTTAAAATGAGTTGGATCGATGTGCCTTTGAAAAGATCTTGCGATGACCCTACACCTGTGATGGAGAAGTGGCCAATTCTACTCCCTGCTGATTTCGCAGCCTAGCTGCCATATCCGGAGAAAAAAGAAAAACCGTTGCATAGTTCAACCATTGTCGTTCCCAAGCTTCCTGCATTCTGCGCGGCTGAGGTATCCACGTTGCTGTCTGAAGGCTACCTGAAAGCCTTGGTGAATGATTTGGCCGAGCTGCCCCAGTACTGGGCGTCCTTTCTTAAGGATCACCCGTCTCACATGGTCCGATCTCGGGATCCAGATCTCAAGAGCAGTATTGGGTGCACCCTATATTGAACCTAGGTGGAATCAAGCATTTTGGATTTGGACCCCAACCAATAAATATTATGAAGTATCATGATGTTTTTTCAAAGGTTTGCTTGCACCTTCAGGTGACGAGATCGATGCACTTGGGGACAACTTTATGTTTCTGGTTTGGTCGTCGGACTCCTCGCCGTATTTGTCAAATTCAGCCTCGAGCAGGTTTCCAATATGTGTTCTGCCAGCATCACGGTACGTGATATCCGAGACTGGAGTGAACCTATCACTGCAAGTTGTCACAAAAGAGATAGTGAAATCTTTCAACTACTTGTCGAGATCTGGCATCAAGATTCGCAATTTGGACCCACGAAATCCCCAAACAGCACCTAGTCCAAAATACAAGATGTTTGATTTATATTGATTACATATGAGGGAAATAGATCTGAACAAATATGGCTTTGCAATCAGGAAGCTGTTGAAACCAACAAAGGCAGCAGTACTTCGGTGCTACGTTGCTGGATACCGCGGTGACTGGAAAGCACTGTCACAGGTGTTTGCATTCGAGCGATTTTACAACAAAAATGAGGCAACAGTTTTGGGTGAAAGGATGCCACAAAAAACATAGTACATATATACATAATATATATATATGTATATATATATATTATGTATTTATATATATATATTATGTATATATATATATGTACTATGTGATATATATATATATACATAGCTAGATAGATAGATAGATCAATGGGAAATCCACCTTTATCCATCCCCGAGCCACCCCAATCAATAGGTTCGATATTGGAAAAACAATCTTTTAACTTTTTGTGGTTGCTGGTCGGTGTGGCACCCTGCCAGATCTGTTGGCTCTGCCGGGCCACGAAGGGAGCAAACAACGATATGGACCTATGTTTCACCAATGCCTCGGAGACGGCCCCCTTTTGGGGAACCTACTGTGACTCAATGCCTTGGCTGGAAGCACCGCCTTATTCTGAACTAGATGGTTTTGAGATAAGCCAGGTCGTGCCAGACTTATTGCATGTACTAAATCTCGGAGTCGGTAGAGACGTTTGTGGGTCAATACTCAAAACGCTGGTCAAAGAATGCCATGTTTTCGCTGGTGACACCATCGATGCTCGGCTACATGCGGCTACAGTTTCACTTCACCAATTCGCCCGAGCACACGCCCTACCGCTTCGCATGAAAAAATTGTCTCGAAAGAAGCTTAACTGGGGATCCAATCGCTATGCAGAGTTGAGCACAGGATCTGGTTACGACGTGAGTGTTGTCGCAAGGTGGCTAGAACACATTTTGGCGACACACACTTCCATTTACCCAGATTTTGCCACACTTCTTTGGTCCCTCAACAAAAGCATGAGCATTTTGTATGATGGACCGTGGTTTTTGTCTGATGAAGATCGTCAGCGGGTGCGCACACTGGGATCAATTTTCATGCGTGTTTTTTTGAAATTAGCAAACGAAGCGCTTAGGAAGAACGAGTTCTATTGGCGCTGTAGGCCAAAGCTGCATATGCTTCACCACATTTTCCGTTGCCACAGAAGTGTCAACCCAGCAAAGTTTAGCACATGGATGGATGAAGATTGGTTAAAGAAAGTCAGCAAGCCACTGCGTTTGGTAAGCGCTGTCACTTCTCAGGCCAGAATTCTCCAAAGGTGGCTTCTGGCCCTGCCGTTACACTTGCAGAAAAGCATGAATATAGCCGGCTAAGCCGCTAGAATGGTTTGATACCTGCGCCGACTGCCCGGAAAAAAAATGAACTGAGAATCCAGCTTAGTTTGGTCCATCTTCACATCGCCATTTTCGGGCTATGCCCCCAAATTTCCCAGGTGTTCCCGAGGGATTTGGCAACCAATAGAACTTGGAACTAGGTGGGTGTTTTTTGATTCCATACAAGACCTTTAAAGATGTACAATTCATATAATATATATCTATCTCCATATGATCTATGTCTATCTCTATCTCTACCTCTCTCTCCCTCATCTATCTATCTATCTATCTATCTATCTAGCTAGCTAGCTAGCTATCTATCTCTCTGTAACACCTTCGTAGGTGCTAATATATATATATATGTCACCACGGGCCGAAAAGCCACTCGTAGCCGAAGCACCGGGAGCGGGCACGAAAAAACACGAAAAGGCCACGAAAAAAACGCTCCTGCCCACGAAATAACACGAAAAACACGAAAATGTGGATCGGCCACGAAAAAGCACGAAAAGGCCACGAAAAAAGCGCTCCTGCCCACGAAAAAACACGAAAAACACGAAAATGGATCGGCCACGAAAAAACACGAAAAGGCCACGAAAAAAGCGCTCCCGCCCACGAAAAAACATGAAAATCACGAATTTGAGAGATCGAGGTTCTCACCCCAATCTAAAGTTCGACATGCCATTATTGCATTTCTTAGGTAAAGGGGAGCTGGTAACTATTTTATATTGGTATTGATTTCTTGGGGGATTTATTTAGTTGCGATCTTATTTCTTTAGTAAATTTGGCTCAAGCATGGATGCCTGCTGCAAACTGTAGCCACTGTGAAAAATAGGCAATGGCATGGAATAAATGTGACATCCGCTGTCCCTGCAGCAAAGAGAAGGAGCGCGTGAGAGAAAAACAGCTCGAAGGATGGTAGCGGAGCAGGCCACAATGTGAGGCCGCGTGAAAACACAGGTTGTACCAATTGTTGGCGTGAAAACTTGCGTGGAAACCATTAGGCCGTGAAAAAATCATATGGCCAAACCTTTTGGATTCCATGGTCGGGAGCAGCTGGGTCCTACTTTTTGTGGGCGAATGGCCCTCTAGGTCCCCTGGAAGGATAACAATTCGAACCCTGGAACTCGAACTCGAACTCCCCCCCCCCCCCCGCCCCAACGAAAAGAAATCTCCCGACCCTCGAACTCGAACTCGAAATCGAACTCGTACTCTCCCCCCCCCCCCCGCGACCTCGAACTCGAACCAACTCGAACATCCAACCCCCCCCGCCAAAAAAAAAATCCTCCCGATCCTGAACCGAACTCGAACTCGAACTTCCCCCCCCCCCATCCCCTCCGAAGCAGACGTACGATGCCAGTTCAAACTGGTGTCGAACAGTTCGAACCCCCCCGGGTTACCTCGAACCCTCGAACTCGAACTCGAACTCGAACCCCTCCGCCCCTCCCCCCGAGGCACACCTAGGATGGCAGTTCGAACTCGAATCGAACAGTTCGAACCCCCCCGGGGCACACTCTGCAAAAATCGATGGATGCAATGTTCAGGCATGACAATGCACAGCGGTTACAAAAGTGGACAATTCGAATGCGGACAGATCAGTCACAAAATTACAAATGGCTTAAAAGCAAAGCCAAAAAAGCAGCTGTAACTTGTCCCACCACTACACTCAGCACCAGTGGTATTAAACCTCTCCCGGTATGGATTCCATAGCACCTCAGGAAATTCAATTAGTTGCGGCGTGGTGTCCAGAGATCCTCACAATCCTCGCTAGACTTTGTAATGCCATCGAATCCACAGGTCGGTGGCCACAGGACCTATCTAAAGGATCCCCGATGGTATTTCCACTACAAAAAGGGAGAACACGTGTACGGTATAAAATGGTCTGGGGATAGGTTTTTGTAGCTGAAATTAGTCTTGGGCCCCCTTTTTGTAGTAAAGTTACCCTAGGCATTTTGTAGGCCCCCTGTTTGGCAAATACAATAGGCTTTTTGTAGGCCTCCAAAACGTGGAATCGAAAATGGAAGATTATGTGATATTACATCAGCTTATAAATTGCTGACTGCATTTTGTAGTCTCTTTGTGGCTGAATCATGCAATGTACAACGCAGCCCAAGAGAATCAGGGAATGCATTTTGTAGCCTCAGTATCCCCGTTCGAATTTC